AATTTGGGTTCAGGGGGCGATTTTTTGGCCGTGGCTAGATTTTTGGCCAGTGCCAATATTTGCGCGTGTAATGTAGTTTATGCCGATGGACAGCGGTGGTCGGCTCTTCGGGCGCGGTGAGCTGCGGCGCAGTCGGTTGTGGTGGGTCAGGAGTGCGTTTGAGTTGGTGGGTGTGTGAATGGGGAGCGTAGAGAAGTGGCAAAGACAGTGCAGTGCGGGAGCGGCGTTCTAAGCGCGCGTGAGCCGTTCGCGTTTGGTTGGAGGGGGTCGTGTGCTTCTGTGCGTGGCAGCTCGGGCGATTCGTAGCAAAGGTGTATCCTTTTCGTAACCTTTGGCTTTTACAGAACTCAAAGTTGCCCGCATGCGGTTATCGCATATGCAATCGACTGTTCTTGTGCAGACGTGCGCGTTGGTCTAAAACGCATCGGCGGTTTTGGCGCTTCCTCTCATGGTGCTTGCAGTGCGATTCATCAATTATTTCATAGTTGCGTAAACCGCATTGCTTTTCAAATTCATTAATTATGTAGAGCGCATGTTTTGCTTGCGTAGACCGCGCATGTTTTGTTCAATTCAACGTCTATGCGTAGACCGCATGTTTTGGCTTGCGTTTGACCGATGTGTTGGCAATCAATTTCATTATTGGCGTAGACTGCATGTGTTTTTGCTGCCTAGACGCCATGTTTGGCAATCAAAGTTCACTACTGTGCGTAGACCGATGTTTTGTGCTTGCCGTAGACGATGTTTGCAATTCAACCAATTCATTACTCTTATCTCTCTCAAACAAAGAGAGAGATTTGGTATGATTTTGGAATCCTTAGTTCTGTTAATGACGAATATTAGCCACTTGTTATTTATCATCAATGCTATGTTATTTTCTTAAAGAATAAGTGGAACCTATGTTCATCCTTGAAGAATGATATTTGTGTGAATCTAGAATTATGTTACGAAGGGACCCAAGATCGTTTAGAATCTATGATATGAATGTAAAGGTTTACCATCAGTATAACCCATATAAGAAATGAATATTCTATTTTGTTAAGCGCAATGATAATGATATGATATAACAAGAAATGCTCTGTTTTCTATTAACTTTATGAATGATTTATTCATATATGTAGAAGTATTCACATCATCTTTAGCACAAGGCCCTTACCCAGGGGTAATAATACGTGGTTCAAATAATTAAGTTTACAAGTTTCGTATTTCTAAGTTTAAGTCTGTTATAAGTTTATGTATGCTATAGTCAAGAATGTTACAAACTCAAGAATGTTACAAGTTTATATATGTGACAAGTTCAAATATGTACAAGTATAAGTAAGGTTACAGTACAAGTATAGAGTTTAAATGTGTTACAAGTTTTCAAGTTTAAGTATGTTATAAGTTCATGTATGTTACAAGTCCAAGTATGTATAAGTCCATGTATGTTATAAATCAAGTATGTTACAAGTTTAAGTACGTTACAAGCTTAAGTATGTTACAAGTTTAAGTACGATACAAGCTTAAGTATGTTCTACAACTCGTTACACATGCTTACATATTACTAA